CGCACTTCGATATTTTCCCCCAAATCGCACAGCCCTAGTGCATGCATCATTTAATGCAATGACTTTGTGAATTTAAGAAGTTCTTTTCTGATTTAAGACCTGCGAAAACCCTGCAAAATGAAAATGGAAAATATAAAAATAAAACCAATTCAAAATATTAATTAAATATAATAGTATCTCAATGATACTAAAACGACACTGATCCACACAACAGGCATACAATAACAATACCAGAGAGGAGTTTGGGTCTTTAAACAGGGTAAACATCTGTGACTGTCTCAGATACTATTTATCAGGCCCTCAGCTTCATCCAAACTTCAAAGAGCCCCGACTCAGTCGCAAATAAGGCACCCAATGACCAGTTCTAACTTTAGCATTTTCTATACCACAGGGGAGTACGTGAAAATACTCGCTTAAGACAAGCACATCCGTCCGCCTCCTCCACACAGCTAGAAATGTCATCAAGCAGACCCCTGGGATCCCGTTCCAGACACGGATGTCTCCATCTCACTGATAAATACTACACAGACTAAACAAAAAAAGGCTGCAGAGGGTCTTTCCAGTCCACTCCCTCTGTCTCCACCATTACTCCTAGCCTTGAGCTACATGTGTAATCCACACTTCCCCACCGTTCCATCTGGGGAAAGGATTTTTCCTCTGCTCTGTGGAAACAACTCGGAAGGTTACAGGCCGTGAGACTCGTGGCCCGGCGTTAACGGTGATCCATTCAGACACAACCAATTTCCACTAGCGGTGCATGCTGTTCATTCAGGAACAGCTGAACCCTGAATCGCAGGTCTCAACCATGCTGCCTCACTACATCTCAATAAAGGGGTTGCATTTCACCTCAGCCTGCCGCTCTGATTAAGAACGGATCTGTGTTGAATCAACATTTCCAGCCTGGTCCAAGAAATAGCAGGACACTAAACCACAATGTGGAATGGAATTGCTGCTGAGAACAGGGAAATTCAGAGTAAAGTGTGCCTTCCATTCCAGGAAGAGACAGCGTCTGGGACTCTGTAGAGCCTCGGTCACTTCCAGAGACGTGAGATGGAAGAGATGCACAAGACAACAATGGTGTTGAGAGCCGTTGTGAAGTGGACAGAGTGGTTTACCATGAGGAAAGTTCAAAAGCTGCTTTAACCACTACAATGATTTCATTATAGTGCAAAAACACATATAGTTCACCCAAAAATTAAAACTCTATCATTGTTTCACCCTTATGTTGTTCCAAACCTGTATGATTTACTTATTTCTGTGTAATACAATAGAAGCTATTTTTTTAAATGTAGGGCTTTTTGTCCACATAATGAAAGTCAGTGGGGTCCAATGTTGTTTGACCTTCATTGTACGGACAAATGTCCTCCAAAATATCTTCTTTTGTGTTCCACAGAAGAAAGAAAGTCATAAAAAATTACTCTGAAACCCTATTAGACTGGAACCCCATGTGGCATAATGTTAATGACATTATGAACGTGGAACCAAAAGACTCACCTGTCTGCCATCCTGCCCCACATTAGTCTGTCCCCTCACCACTGTCCTGATGTTGTCATCCAACCGTCTGATTAAAATAATTATTTACAATACCAATTTAATAAGATGAAAACCTAAAGAACCTCCATATATAAATGCAGACCATATCAGGGTCTAAATATTAAAAACTCACCTGATTTTAAGTCGAATGTTATTCACCACTTCATCTATATTCGCCAAAGACTTTTAAAAAAAAGAAAAAAGATTTCATATCAAGATTTGGAGGGAAAAACATCTCTACTGAAATATATCAGCTATCCTTGAATTTTATCTCTTTTAATAATCAACATCTTATTAGTCACTTCTTCTTGCTCGGAGAGAGCAGTGCTCTCTAGTGGACAAAAATATAGACATTCAATAGAGGAGAATTTCTGCAGTAATGTAAAGGAAAGCATAAGTATTAGTAGCATTATTGGTCACTTGCATCAATATGGGTGACCGTAACACAGGTGTTAAATTAGATTTGTTATTTATTTGCATTATCGAAGCTATTAGTATGTAACAGTATGATGCTGCTCAGAACTAGAGCTTAAATACACATAAAAAGGTTTCGAATTAAGGTACACATTCATCACGCTGACCATTGCTCAAGTATTCTAATTCAGACTCACCTGTTCTGTTGGAAACAAGGTATTAATGTATTCAACAGCATTGAAGTCGGCTCGATCCAAAGGGTCCTGGCTGGGGAAAACCTACAAAAATGAGCAGATAACATATGATATGGCCAGGACCAGAAAAGCAGGCTCTGCTGAATGAGAATCAGGTGTCCACAAGTTTTCTAAAGATGTTCTGAAGTGACCTACACTGATCTACACTGCAATCTGTTCAGGTGGCACCTTAACAAATAGATCAAGAGATCCAGCTGTATTACTGATCTTACGCCCGACTCATTGAAGGTAGCAGAAGAATGATTCAATGATGACAAACCATTATATTATTAAACAATTCTGTGCATGCTCTCCAACGTTGATGCTTTAGTCACAGTCTTTTCCCTCACTGTACTGTAAATTACTGTAGGTAAACATTACTCAGGAAGCTGCCATCAGACAGATTTGTTTATTAACTAATGCATTTCAGAGTACTTCTACTTAGGATGCATTCGTGGACCAATAGTCACTTTAACTATATAACTATATATTAAGCCAGAACTCTTTTAGAGATAAAACTATTGATATTCGAGATAAAACTGTTGACCATTTCAAAGGTTTTCAATATTTCTAGACAATCAGCAAGCCATTGGATCATGGGTATAAACATAACAAGCTAAATTTTCTTAGTAGCATTTTTTTATACCATCTTTCATCAAGTACACAGACTAACATTAGTCCTTTTTTTTTTTTTCATCTTCTACACGTACTCCCTTGTTGAAAACCCTGGATATGTCGAGGTGTCTCCTGTTTTGACACCTGCCTTCAAATCACAAGCTAGCAATGACTAATTTGCGTTTGCTGGTCTGTAGTTTTAAAACTGAAGTCAGTTTTGACAACAGCTATCTACGTAAACTAATACGTAGCGTGATAAATAAACAAGACATAAGTAAAACTGTGAGCATTAATGGAGATGTTTCAAACGGGCTATTAGCATCTCAGGAGAAGGCAACAGCTGGCAGCTTGTGTGCTCACTGCTCTCTCTGACACTGCAATAAAAACAAACACAACGACAGTTCATCTGAGTTACCTGCTCAATGGCCAGCTGCACTTCTGGAGTAAGGTGTAATATGGCCTCCAAATCTTCCACAAACTCTAATTCTTCGTCCTCCATCATTGTGAACAGTAAACAGTCGTTTTATTTCCCTGTGCTGACGTGAATACTTCTTTACTGGTGTCGATGCGCAGGAAAAATATGATTCATTAGCGCCATCTGTGGCGCTGGAGGCTCAACACGAACCACTGGTGATGTTGGCTAATCATTTTCACTTTTGATAACATTTATAAAAGTAGTGTTTAACTATTTTCATGGTATTGGTCAATAGCGAATCACCTGAAACTCACGTAACGCTGTAATATTAGATCATATTTTAGAAAAGTGTGATATATTTCAGATTTCTGAAATGGAAACTGGGGACATTTCCTAGTTCATTCATTCATTCAGTCATTCATTCATTCATTCATTCATTCATTCATCCGTCTGAGATGGAGATGTGGAGGCCGGAGAAGCAGATTTATCATAAAATAGTGAGGATCAAAACTGCACAAAAAGAAAGCAAAATTAGTGCACAGAAGGATCTGATTCTCAAACGAATGTATCTAATGAGCCCATGCTTTTTTATTAATGAAAAAAGCAAACAGCATACATTTGAGTACAATTGAACAGGTTTAAAATGACTACTGTGCTCGATTTCTCTCTGGCACCTTAGCTTAAAGTTCAACGTTAGCTCGCTGTGAATTCAAGATCCCTGCTGCTGTGTACTTTGTTTCTTAAACTGTAAATGATTGATCTTATTACTCACTGAGATTCTGTCTCAAAGCTCTCAGACATGAAAGAGTCCACAGAGGAGACACAAGATGCCTCAGGAGCAGGACACTCTCTGCTGTAAAATAAGAGAAGGACTGACTAAATGGAGGGATATTTTCACATGGTGAGTGGATGCAAATGTCCATACAGTAGTTTCTGTAAGCTTCAGACCACATTGAAAATCTGTTGTCTTTTTTCTTTGCTCTTTGGATCTGAAGCTGTATAACATGATTGTCAGGGTTCAGTGTTTTAGTATTATTTATGTACTATTGTAGTATTTATTAATATTTTGAATTAGCTTTTATTTTTTTACTCTTTTGTTTTAAGTTTATTCATTTTAATTTTAGTTAAAGTTTTAGTTTTTTAAGTTAAGTTTTTAATTGTTGTTATATGTTTTTTTTTTTATCTACTTCGTTCTAATTTTAATTTATTTCAGTAATTTTAGAAATTCAACTTAGACCTATTTCAGTTAATTGCCAGTTAAGTTTTTTTTTAAGTTTGGGTTTTTATCTCATATTTATATTTTATTTTATTTCAGCTTTATTTCAATTACTGAACAGGAAATGGACTATTCTTAAAGGCAGGGTATGTGATTTTTCAAAAACACTTTAGAAAACTGATTCGGGCCGAATCGCAAAACAAACTTGTAGCCAATCAGCAATAAGGGGCGCGTCTACTCGTGATGTGGAGGAGAGCGCGTTCAGTGCATGGGACGGACATTAGCCGAGCCGAGCGACAGAAAGATAGAGATGGCGGATAAAAAAACAAAAGAGGAAAACGTCTGCGGAAAGATAAGGCAAGAAGTAGGACCCGTGAAAATATCGGATCAGCTTTCCAGCGCTGGAGAGAACTCAAGGAGCGGAGGCCTGCGATCGGACGCCGAGGTTGCTATGTTTCTTCTCAGTAGGTGAGTAACACCGTGTCTACAACAGCTAAAGTCTGACTACACTGGACGCGATCAAACGACCGTTGAAAACCATTTGAAATTTGTGTCAGCACGTCATAAATAGAACCCGGCAGCAGTTTTCTGTCGGGATTTGTTGCGCCGCGCCGCTCACGTCCGTAGACACGGTGTAACATTGGTTTTGCTTTGTTTCACAGAACTAATCGTTGCCTGGGTTGCGTACGTATATGTGGGGCGGAGCTATCAAAATAGGGGCAAGACCCTTTTGGGGTAGGGGCGTGTTTGTTTTGGTGATTTCAAATATCAACAATGGCTACCAGAAATCACTTACCCTGCCTTTAATAGTTTTAGTTAACAACAGCAACACTGTCAGGTTTTATTTTTCAGTGAACCTTTTACTTATTGTTATGCCGTTAACATCATTTGTAATGAGAAATGTTAACATTAAATGTATAAATTAAATTATTATTATTATTATTTAAAAAAAAAAAAAATGTATATTTTAAACACCATATATTTTATATGCAGAGAGAGGACTTATAAAGGACACTTTATGAATAGTGCATACCAGTATAAAAACCCTCATCAATTGGTGTACAGTTATTCCAGCCATTGTTCATTGCAGGCAACTGTTTAAAACTCTGCTGATGGGACAAGGCCTCTCAGCACTGATCTGTGGGACTGCTGTAACATCTCAGTATCTGGCGTCCGTTTACTATCTGAATACACCCATGCTGCAGAGCTTCATTAATTACACCCTTCTAGGCATCACTTACACCATTGCACTGATCTTCAGACAAGGTATTCATGTGTTCATTCTTGTCCAATCATTAATGTTTTTAAATTATCTGCTACTGGTATCCATTTTTTTGGCATGTAATATTAAGGATACCTTTCTTTTAATATAGGTGATGGCAATATTTTGCAGATATTAAAGACAAAATGGTGGAAGTATCTGTTGTTAGGACTGACAGATGTGGAGGCAAATTACGCAGTGGTGAAAGCATATCAGTACACCACATTAACCAGCATACAGGTGACAGCTTTTTCTGGATGTGATGATATACACTGTGCTTACACTACCACTCAAAAGTGAGGGGCTGCATTTATTTGATCAAAAATACGGTAAAAACACCTTTATTGTGAAATATTGTTACAATTTAAAATAACTGTTTCTATATATAATTTATTCCTGTGATGGCAAAGCTGACTTTTGGTACTTCAATTTACTGACCCCAAACTTTTGAACTGTAGCGAAGGTTCTGAATTTGCATTTCAAAACGTGTCTCTTGTAATACATTGACAAAAGAAGAATCTGATTTAAATTCTCAATGCAAGCTGTTGTTTGACTAACTGACCCTATTGTCTGAATTTCAGCTGCTGGACTGCTTTATTATCCCGGTTTTGATGATCTTGTCCTGGTTCTTCCTGAAGACCCGCTATAGGATCATTCACTACGTAGCTGTATGTCTTTGTCTGGCTGGGGTGGGAGCCATGGTGGGAGCGGACATCCTCGCTGGCCAGGACCAGGGATCTTGTGAGGAGCAAGCTGCTTCTCCAGAATATAATTTAACAGAAAACATAAGTGAAAACGTAAACATTATTCATTCCTGTGTCAACAGCAAGTGACATTCTCCTCGGTGACGGTCTGGTTCTAGTCAGCGCCACTCTGTATGCCATCTCTAACGTGTGCCAGGAATACACAGTGAAGAATCTGAGCAGGGTGGAGTTTTTGGGCATGGTCGGCCTCTTCGGGTCAGTCATCAGTGCAATACAACTGTAAGATCTGTGCATGAATCACAAAAACAGTAGACCAGTTGCTGAACGTCATGCAGTTCCACATCATCTGCACTGTTTTATTTTTGTCACCTACAGAGGGATTCTTGAACATAATGAAGTGTCTAAAATTCAGTGGACATGGGAAACTGGTAAAGTACAGCAATGCGAAATAAAAACCCTTTCAGTTATGTCAATGACGTCATCTAAAGGCTTGATTTTTGGCTTCTCTTCTTAGCTCTTATCCTGGCTGGATATGCGCTCTGCATGTACGGCTTCTATAGCTTCATGCCTGTGGTGATAAAGATGAGCAGTGCCACAGCGGTAAATCTTTCCTTACTCACTGGAGACCTCTTCAGCCTGTTTTGTGGGCTCTTTTTGTTCCAATACACTGTAAGTAATATACTTCATTGAGACAGATGTATTTTATATTATACAATTATTTATAAATATTATTATATATATAAAACAACATTTTTAATGTAATTTGGTGATTTGCAAGAAACATTTCTAAAAACAGTTGTCCTGCTTAATTTTTTTGTGGAAACCAAATTTTGTTTAGGATTTTTTTAATGAATAGAATGTTCAAAAGAACAGATTTATTTGAAATAGAAATCTTTCTCTCTTTTTTAACATTATAAATGTCTTTACTGTAACGTTTAATCAATGGATGCTTGCTGCATAAAAGTATTAATTTCTTTCCAAAAACAAAAGATCTTACTGGCCTCACACATTTGTGACCCTGGACCACAAAACCAGTCTTAAGTGTCAATTTCGAAAAATTTCGAATATAAATAAGCTTTCCATTGATGTATGATTTGTTAGGATAGGACAATATTTGGCTGAGATACAACTATTTGAAAATCTGGAATCTGAGGGAGCAAAAAAATAAAAATATTGAGAAAATCGCCTTTAAAGTTATCCAAATGAAGTTCTTAGCAATGCATATTACTAATCAAAACTGAAGTTTTGATATATTTACGGTAGAAAATTTACAAAATATCTTCATGGAACATGATCTTTCTTAATATCCTAATGATTTTTGGCATTAAAAAAAAATCGATAATTTTGACCCATACTTTGTATTTTTGGCTATTGCAACAAATATTCCCGTGCAACTTAAGACTGGTTTTGTGGTCCAGGGTCACATTTGAACGGTAATGTCTATAAATGAAAAAATTAATTATAAAATAAAAATAAAAAAATGCATAAGTGGTAGTAGTATCTATAGATGTGTCCTTGTATTCTTATCTCAGATATTCTGGGTCATTGTGACATGGCGCTTTATATTTCTTTAATGTGTGAAAGTCCCCTGTGTCCTCTGATTACTCTTTGACCTTCCTCACCAAAAAAACACAAAACAAACAAACATATCTTAGTAATTCATTTATATACTAAATGCACTACACACTTTAAGTAACTCTCACTGTTTTTATATTTAAATGAACTTCTTTCAATATAATTTTTTTTTTCTACAAATGGTCCATCAATGTTGAATACAAATAAAATTTTTTGACTGAGGTATTTCAGTCCACTTATTTGTTCTTTTTCAGTTCTCAGGACTGTATATTGTGTCATTGGTGGTGATCCTCGTTGGTTTCATCATGTTTAACACCGTCCCTACCCTGAACCGAGCTCTTGCCCCGGCATCTGATGAGGAAGGCTGTGACAATCACGCCGCTGAGTTTGATAACGACAGCACTCAAGGCTGTGTGGATGAGATAACCTGTGCACAAGCAGAGCAA